AGTTAGTTAGTAGTAGTGTACGTCGTCGTCGTCGTCGTCGTACTACGTCGTCGTCGTCGTGTGTGTGTGTGTGTGTGTGTGTGTGTGTGTGTGTGTGTGTGTGTGTGTGTGTGTGTGTGTGTGTGTGTGTGTGTGTGTGTGTGTGTGTGTGTGTGTGTGTGTGTGTGTGTGTGTGTGTGTGTGCAGCATTAAGGCAGAGAGAGTGCTGACCCTAGTGTTTCCTTGTAGGGAGAGGCACAGCTCAGAGGTGAGTGTGCTGAGGCACTTGGATGGCTTACACACACACAGCCTGCTGTCCCGGCAGCCTCACACTCTCTGCGTGTGTGTGCCTCCCTGTCGTCACCAGGTATTCCACCGACACACTCAACTGTTAACAGTGAACACTGCTGTACTGTATGTCAGTCACATTAACACACACTTCAAAGCAGCTGACTCAAGACACCTGGTTCATTTTACAGCAGCTCTCTCTCTGCCTTCACAAATGTACTTTTAATATATATTTACCTGTAACGCTGTAAAACTGCTGAATGTTAATGGTCTGCAAAGGCTAAAATCCCTCTTTTCTATGCTTTTTGAACATTAAAGCATGGAGACATGTCACAGCAGCGACACTAAATACTGATATGAACCTGAACATGAGCAGAATATTTCCTCTTTACATAGATAAATCCCTCAACCTTGACATTTGAGGGGCTTGTTATCAAAGTAGTAATTTATCAATTTTGTATTGATGGGCTATATAATGATTGAATGACTTAAACATGTTACTAATGGTGTATAGGACCAATGGTAGTTATTATTTACAACAGTACTCCCATAGATGTGTTTAGTTTTATTTTATTTTAATAATCAGAATCAGAAACAGGTTTATTGCCAGGTAGGTTCACATGTATGAGGAATTTGACTTGATGTCATGGTGCATACATAAAACAAAACATCTAAAGTATAGATAGATAGCAATAAAATAAAGCAGTAATTTACAGTGAAATAAAATGCAGTGAATTATAGAATACAAAATATGAAATATGTGAAGTAAGCAATATTTGAACAATATTTAAACATGTTGTGCATTAATGTAATGCGTATAGAGCCTGCGTTGTGGCTGAGGTAAAGTGTCAGTGTGGGGGCCGGGCCTTGTTTAAGAGGCCGGTAGCGGAGGAGATGGTCTGTTTGTGTTGTTCATGTTTTCCCAGCTTTGTTTGTACATTTGTTTTCCCAGCTGTGTTTGTACATTTCACTCGTAAATATATATCCTTACAAACCTTTACATGACACAGGTGTATGATGTATGATGAGTTTGGCCTTTATGATATTGGACATTTATGATGTTTTCTTTTACCAGTGAATTCCTCTGTGATTGCTGTGTTTCCCATCGCTCTCCATTTAAAGAGCCTGTGACACGAGTTTCCCCCATCATCCAAACCCATCAATTTGAGTAAATGTTGTCCCCTTGAAAACCGTTACTGATCTGATTTTGGATATTTCTACTTTGAGAACCATTAATCTGCCCTTCAATGTTGAAAATTTTCTGGATCTTTTCGGGGATTCTTCAAGTCCTGCCAAATTATGTGTGACGTCATTGCGGGCCAAGTGCTCCAGCTGCACCGTTCAGGATCCCAGCATCTGCATGTAAACGCACGATGGCGCACACAGCAGCAAGCTCAGACAGCGATGACAGTTTAATTTTGAACGTGTCTGAGAGCTCATATGAGGCTGAAGGATCGGTTTATGTTGTATCTATTAGAAGTTTAGGAATTAGGTACGTCAATATGGGCGATCATACGGTCATGTAGCCAGTGGTGGACTGGGACTGAAAATCAGCCCGAGACTTTCGACCGGCCCACTTCGGTACCGCTAGTAAATTGTCAACGGGGGTGTGTGTGTGACTTATCCGACCGGCCCACTTTGGTACCGGCCCATCGGGATTTGTCCCGATGGCCAGTCCGCCAATGCACCCAGCCCAGCCCACGTAAACTGTCAACGGGGGGAGCCTCGCTGCAGGGAAACGGTGGACCTAGTGTCCCGATCGGAGAGGGAATAATAATATTAATAATAATCCGTGCATTTTATCCATTAATTGTGGTAAAAAAAAACACACGTTTAATCCATGTTGGTTTACTACAACTACAAAAAGCATCGGTTTGTTTTCTCATCAGGAAATGCAGACCGGCTCAAACAAACGATTTTTAAATCATCATCCTCACGATCATTTAATGTATCATATGTTCGCCGAATTGACATGAAAGCATTAATAAATGTAGTTTCATCCACTTGAGTTTACAACTACAAAAATAATCGATTTGTTTTTATATCACATCCTATGGGAGGAAATTCAGCAGCTCTCACTACCGATTTTTAATCCTAATTTAATCATCATCTTCACCAACATCATTTATGTTTATGTTCACCAAATTGACATGAAAGCACTGACAAATATGAATATACTGTAGTCAACTTCATTAAAATGTTATTAACGTGCCTAAACTCAGTAATTCACCATTTCTACGCATGACAACACACTTTGTCCGTGTTTGGCTCTCTCGCCGCACAGTGAAGCGTTCCAGCATTGACGTCACTTCCGGCTTCCCCCAAAACTTCAAAATGAGTCGAAGGAATTTCCCCGCGATGTTCGAAATTATTGATATTTATCGGAACGGTATCGCACCTTCTTTTTTAAACTGACGGTTCGAGATGACTAGTAGCCCAATATTTCATTGCACAACAGTTGTTGGGAGGCTGTCACAGGCTCTTTAAGTTGAGGATTAGGTCCGTTGTCATTACCAATGTGATCTACGACGGTCATGAATCCGTCTCTGTCTGAGTCTGACTTCAGTTCAAGTTCATATGCTGATATATGGTGCCTTTTTCCAAAGTCACTGATTGTTTCTACATACAAAGCATCTTCGTGTTACAATAGTATGTGTATTCTACTCTCTGGCCTATACGTTCAGATCTTGTGGAAGATGCAATGTGTCCTCTGTCTTTTTGGTCCCAGTGCTTAAACCAAACAGTAGAAGCCGGGTCTGCTACAGCGATGAGTTCACATGTGTTAGACTTATGCCGTAAGAGAACAGGAGCACACACACACACGACACCGACCCGCGCCTGCTGGGGAGTTTGTGTGGTGCCAGCTGACGTTCCGCGGGGGTCTCGCGTCTCGCCAACCCGCAACACCAGGAGCCAGCTCACACTGTCCGTTCCTGCCAGGCAGCGAGCCTCGCAACGTTTACATGCTAAGAAAGCGAGCAGTAAACAACAGAGGGGACGGTAAGGGAACAGGGAAAGGCATGAGCCGAATTGGGACCTTGGTAAAGAGACAGGCAGCTAACTAAACCGTCTGTGACAGAGGGCGATTCAAGTGGCGGTTTCAGACAGACAGCCAGGGAGGCAAGGAATCTGATTGTATAAACAGGTTAGAGAGCATGTTAAAAGTGTCTAGTTAAAACCCAAATAAAAGTATGATTTGAGGAGAATAGGGATAATACTGATCAATCAGATGATAAGAGGGTTAGGTAGGTATTAGTTGAAGAGAGGATACTGAGAGATAGACAGCGACTCCGGGCGCTCTGGGGTTGATATGAGCTGACTGCAGATGCTGGAGCAGGGCGTGTAGTTGAAGCTCCCAAAGAAACAAGATCAAAGGTTATTAGCCTGCAATTCTGTTGGAATGAAAAAAAGCCAGGGCAGGTCGATTCTCCGCCATT